AAAAATTCAATCCCCGAGAAGCAGTACAAAATGCCCTTCAAGAATTTGTTGCATCTTAAACTGGCACTACGTTGGCAAAGATACATCGATTGCATGGGTGATTGATTACTTTACTTAGGAATAGAAATATTAAAAAATTACGTTATTTTATTTCATAAAAAACGGCTATTTCATAGTTGAAGACTTAGGTAATACATTAGATAGGTAAAGTTATTCATCGTAAAGGTGTGCTTGATTTACATCAGAAAGCTAGATACCATTTAATGAAAATCCATTTCAAAATAAAAAATAAAAATAAAACATTTGAGAACTGTTGCCTTATAAACAAAAAAAAAACAAATTACTCACTTGAATTTTCTGTCTGCCATTTTCACCGTTGTAGAGCTATCTTTTTTTGTAAATGTCTATTATTTTTTTAAATTCAGAGCATAATAAATATAATTTATAACTTAGCGTACGTAATAAATTCAATCACAGCTGTGTATAAAGTAGTAGCTGAGACACGAGCTCTCGACCTTAATTATGTTTTTTATCATTTCAATGATTGGCTCGTAAACAACGTACTTTATCTTAATTATAAATGATAGGAATTGGTTTAATCGTTTCGATTAATGGAGAATACCCGGGAATATGATTTTAATCAATAGAAAGGTCATCTGTGTATATAATAAGCAAAACATCCATTCAGTGTTGCCAACTTTTTATCAAAAGAAAAATAGACATTGTAAAGTAAGTCGACTTCAAAGATCAGTTCTCAAAGAAAAATAATTTTCACATAATTGATAGCTTTAGAGGGCTATGCTAGTCACTTGCGAGCACATGAACGGACGGAGCAATAAAACAGATATAGAATAATGATTTCTTATACTCGTATTTACGCGAACACTACACATTGATTAAAACTACTTTTACGGATCTTATCGCGTTTATTTTACTTTTAATTATTTTTATTTTTAATTCCCTACGTTTCGGGCGCTTGAAATGATGGGTGCTGGAAAGCGTCCGAAACGTCGGGAATTAAAAATAAAAGTAATTAAAAGTAAAATACACGCGATAAAATCCGTAAAAGTAGTTTTTAATCACAGATATAGAAGTCAAAAATGGTCGCTGTAGCCGAAAGCGGCTATATTACAAGTCCCCATAGATACTTTAGGGAGTTGTAATTTCCATTATTACCGACAGTTTTGGACTATAAAACACCATACTCCAAAGTTAACCGTTTTCAAGATATTAAATATTTAAGTTTTTTATAAAAATTGCTATGTTTTTGTCTATTGTACATTTTTCTTGTAATTTGTGTATCTTGTTTTATTTTTTTTTTATAATTTTTGTGTAGTAGATAAGTTGCTTTATTATTTTAAACACCAAGTTCTGAGGTAAATAATAATCTGGGTGGACGATTGATAGTTCAAAAAAGAAATAAATTTGTACAAAGTTTTTTTCCTTTGAGGAAGATTTAAAAAAATCTATTGCAGGTATGTTGTAGATGCACTTAAAAATATCTACGTTTTTTCAGCTATCCAACAAGTTATAACAGTATAAGGTTTATCAGAATTCCCAAAAAAAAACTTAGGATTAAAGGCTCACAAGTAGTAAAAATATCGGTGCTGGGTGTTCAACAAGCCATTTCGATGTTTTTGGGTTTAGTTTATTAGTCTACTTACGTGATTCGTGCGTGGTAGATGCGATACTTAGTGATTTTCAGTGATTCTAGTAATAAATATATAAGTCAATGGTGCTTTCTATTTCCTACTCGGCTTGGATTGTATTTCTTGGCTGTTTTTCTTTTGATTCGTGACTGTGCTCGCTAACTGGACTTTGATTTGTGCTTTTGATATTTAACTGTTGCTATCAATCTAATATCACAACAAAATCTCCTACGACCCAGATTGTTTATTTACTTAAAATATTGGTGTTAAAAATAATATAGCCACTTATCTACTACACAAACGTTATAAAAAGAACAAGATGCACAAATTACAAAAATATTAGTACAATAGACACAAAATTGGCAATTTTTATAAAACAAAACTTTAATGTCCAATATTTTGAAAACGGTAAAAAAAGTTTCGGGTATGGTGTTTCATAGTCGAAACAGCCGGTAATAATGGACATTACGTCATCCTGTAACTAAAACATATAGCTTCAGAAGTCGGTGCTTAGCGTAGTATACAGAAAGTATTAAAGCCCCGACTTCAGAAGTTATTTTGTGGAAATTATTTTATTCTTTTAAATTATCTCGAAGTTGGATTTCACTTTTATTAAGTCTAATTTTGAATCTTCTATCAACAAAGTTGATCGAAGTTTTGAATCTTTTGAGGCTATTGAGCTTTTGACTACGGCGGAATACCACAAGGTCATCTTAATAGTTATATTAAAAACTTCATCTCCTCTTTTTTATAGGATAAAGGTGACAAACGAGCACACAGTCAACCTGATGTTAAGCGGTACCACCGACATCGTCACCCCTGAGGGCTACGATGGAATGCCTCGTTTTCAGTAACAACAGTTTCCGGTTCTCTACACTCACCGTACGAAACACAGCAGCATAAAGCTGCTATTTTACGCTGATATTCTATGAGAGCGTGATTCTTGCCCGGTCGAGCCGATGCATTCGTGCTACAACTATACCAGTAATATAGCTGCAGCATGGCACTACCACGTAATAAAACCAACTTTTGTTGTGGAAATTTTTGATTCATATTTATATAGAACCGCTCTTGAAGTGTAACCTATTAAAAATAATAAATAATAAAAATCGGTTTACAATCGACGAACATATCGCATTTCATTACACGCAAAAAACGGTTGTTACGTTTTAGTCGAATTGAGTATCTCCGTATTTTGAAGTCGGAATAAGAATACCTCGTAGCGGGAGTATTGCTTAATGACGAAAATTGAAAATATATAGATTTCTATAATGGTTTCCGATATTTATTTGATTCTACTATAAATTCAATAAAACTGAGTTATTATAAGCTTTTTCTGCGTAGATCGGACCATAAAGTTTATTATTATTTATTTATTTATTATTTATTAGGGATAACAACAGCCTTCATTCTATGAAAAAAAATCTTATATAATATGTTTTACATAGGGCCAATAATAGTCATCCTCTTTTCACAATTTATCACATATCAGAAGTATGAAAAGTTGAAAAAAAGAATATTACAAAACCTTAAATCAAAAATAAATTTAAAATGTTTGTCATGGCTGACCTAGAAAATTATTTATACTTCAATTGGATAATATTTACACATGTAAGCACATACATATACACATATACATATAACCATATTATAATTAAACATTTATACATTTAAATAAAAAAGGCAAGTATATATATACTAACATTTAAATAAATATACATACATAGAATATACGCGAATTGAAGACATATAACTTGAGATATTACTACGGATTTACAAAACTACAGAGGCTACCAACATAAACAATAAAGGTTAATTGTCTACTGTCAAAGCCTGTACTACCTTTCGCTTAAATAAATTTTTTAAATGGATAAATGGGTCAATATGAGAAAATTTTGTGTTAAAAGTTCTAACCATTCTGGAGAGGACACAATTCTTACCATAATTAGTATGATGTAAGGGAACACCCAGTAAAGGTGTATGCCTAGTCCTACGTCGGGGTACATTAAAGGATATTTGTGAAAGAAGAGCAGGGCAATCAAGTTGAGCGCGTAAAATATCGAACAAAAAAACCCATGTCTAAGATCTCACGGCGTTCCGCTAAGTTATTTTTAAAAGTCCGGGTTAAGTATCAACATCAAGATATTTAGCACCTCAGTCCTTCCGAGACCATGGGTCCTGTAAAGCATTATGAAATATCAGGAATTCAAAAAAAGTTTAGAGTTTAAAAAAGTTTAGTTTGTGATAGAGCCATGCTGCAACTGTATTATGTATAGTTGTAGTACGAATGGGTCGGCTCGACCGGGGAATGATCAAGCTCTCACAGAATACTAGCGTAAAATAGCAGCAGAACAGAAACAGAACAGTTTCGTGTGCGGAGTGTAGAAAACTGGAGACCCTTTTTACTTGAAACGAGGCATTCCATCTTAGTCCTCACGGGTGATAACGGCATCTGCATTTTAATTCGTAATCGAGGATAGATGTAGATGTCTTTTTTTATAGGATAGGGTGACAAACGAGCGCACAGTCCACCTGATGGTAAGTGCTTGCTGTGGTCCATATACATCTACATCTATCCTCGATTACGAATCAATTTCAAAAAAAATTTTAAGCGACGACCTAATGGCAGGGCGCTGACCGCGAACTCAAAAAGGTCGTGGGTTCGAATCCGCCATTCGACTACTGTCGTGAACCACTCGTAACACAAGCAATTTAAGCTTACCACGAATGGTTAAGGGGAATATTAATAATGTTTATAGCATTGTTAATATTCTTTCTTAAAAAAAATGTAGATGCGTTGTCACCCGTGAGGACTAAGATGGAATGCCTCGTTTCCAGTAAAAGTGTTTCCGGTTCTCTACACTCAAAACATAGCAGCATTAAGCTATTATTTTACGCTGGTATTATATGAGTCACAGGGACCCTTTACCATCGAATACACAACCAACGAGTACACAGTCCACCAGGTAAGTAGACGTGAGCCATAAATACTTAAATCGATAAAATGCAGTCGCGTTGTCATCTTTGAAGATCAAGAGTGCCAAATTACTAATAATATAAAAAGGGTCTTCGGTTTTCTACACAACAACATTATGGAAAGAAAAAAGAGTATAGAATTACAACAATAACCTTGGTAACAAAGTAAGCATTTCCACCTTGGACATGTTTAAAACAATAACTATGTAGATTGATTTCAAAATATTTTTCTTTGCTATAAGTCGAGGCTTTGTTATGTAAAGATGTCTTACGTTATGTTTAGAATTCTATCACAATTATTTAAACATGGTGCGTAGGAGCCGTTTAAGGTTTCGATTAGTCGTATTCGTATCATTGTATTGGAAACAGCTCCTAATGGTAAGTCAGAAGTTACATTTAAAATTATGATAATCAATTGGTATTTATAAAAAAAAACACTAAAGATGTTAAAAATTAATATGCTGAGACCCGCTCACATAGATTTGCCGAGGCGATATTTTTTATCCAATCATTTCAAATGTCAAATCTCTCCAGAAAGAATGGGTCGATGTGTGAAAGATTACGAATGTGTAAGCCCGAGACTGCTATGGATACGAATGAAAGTGGGCTTAAAGAAGTTATTTGTGCTAGGAGTCTACCCCCCAGACATGTCTATGTCCACTTATATTTGAGAGCAGTTTTGGGAGATGGTAAGGATGGTATTAATGAAGTGTAAGGGAAATGAAAATATAGTTATGCTAGGAGATTTTAATGGAAGGCTTGGGGTGAAGAGGCTTAGTTATGAAAGGATATTGGGAACGTTCGGCGATGAAAGTGTAAATGAGAATGATGAAAGCCTCCTCACCGTATGGGTGGAAAAGAATATTTTTGTGACGAACACTCTTTTTCGTCATAAAAAGATTCACATATATACTGGGGAAAGAGGTGATGATAGAAGCACGATAAATTTCATAATTGTGGATGAAAGAATGAGGAGCGCAGTGGTAGATATAAGGGTCTACCGGGGGTTCAACGTAGGGATGGATCATATTATGACAAATTAATGGTCTATTCAGAAGTTGGTGGCATCAGACATGAATAAAAGATGAAGAGGAGAAAAACAAGTACAAATGTAGACTGAAAGAAAATATAAGTGGTTTGGATGAACTGTTTATGAATGAGTTAGACTTGGAGAATGTGTGGCAAAATGTTAAGAAAGGTTTAGTAGATGCAGCTTCCGAAGTAAGTAGTGTTAGTAAAAGAACGAATGAAAGGAAAAATAATACGTTATGGTAAGATGATGAGGTACGTATGGAAGTTGAAGCAAAGAAGAGAACATGGCTAGATTAACTAACAACAAAGGCTGGTAATTTTGGTGGTACGAATGATGATATTGAAAGCAAAAAATCAGTCTTTAGTCATCTAAATAAGAGAGTAAAAGAAGTAGTTGAAAGGAAAAAGCAAGAAAGAACGGATAAGAATGATATAAGAATATCGGATAAATTCCAGGCAAATATCAAAATGTTCTGGAAACTCGTAAGAACTACCAGGGGACATTCAAAACAGCCTAGAATAAATGCTATAAGAGACGAGAATGGCTATATTCTGAATGATGAAGTTTTGAGTTTGAAGAGATGCAAGGAATATTTTGAAAGCGTGTTAATGAGTGAGGAGACGACGTACAAATTAAATGAAATAGAAATTTCTAAAGAAGAGGGAAGAAGTAGAGAGATAAGTATAGATGAAAGAATGAAAGCAATGAAAAGTATGAAAACATGTAAGGCAGCCGGATATGTTAGATTTTGACTCGAAATGCAAGAGCTGGAGAGGAAGTGGTGGCAGGCCTGCTGTGCACCTTTTTTAATTTATGTTGGGAACTGAAGCGGGTATCAGAAGACTGGTATAAAGCCGTAGTAGTCCCAATAAATAACAGAAAAGGGTTGCAGCAGGACTGTAAAAACTACCGTGGTATCAGCCTTTTTAGCATTTTGGGAAAACTGTATGCTACGGTACTAATTGAAAAGGTTATGAAAAAAACCGACGTGCAAGTGGTATTTAGAAAGAGAATGGGATGTACAGATCAAGTCATTTCCATGCGCATGATCGCGTAGAAGTATTTTGCCAAAAACTAAAGAGTTTTTTGTGCGTTCATAGATTTGGGAAATGTTATGGCAAACACTGAATTCATTTGGGTTGAGCGCTGGGTTGATAAAGGCAGTAAAGTCTCTTTACAAGGACTCTTCTGCTTATGTTAGCATCAATGGGGTCTACTCGGAGTGGTTTGGCATCCATTAAGGATAGGGCTGTATAGCTTCACTGTGGCTGTTAAACCTATTTATGGACAGTTGTTTGGAAAATTTGAAAGTTGAAGAATGCGGATCAGGAATGGGTGAGTTAACCGTCAAATGCCTTTGTACGCCGATGACCAAGTTATATTTGCGTCGTCGGCGGCTGAGTTGCAAATGATGGTTACATTAATGAACAGGTCATTAAAAGAAAAGGGTATGAAAGTGAACACAAGTAAGACGCAAGTTATGGTTTTTGAAAGAGAAGAAAGTAAAACGATATGTGAAATAAGAATAGAAGGGGGGTTAGTCGAGCAAGTAGATGGGATGTGTATTCAGCAGGGATGGGAGATATGATAAAGATATAGAACGGCAAGTGAACGCAGGAAATAAAGTAAATGGGGCTCTGCACTCTATTATGAAGAGTCAGAATGTGTCCAAAAAGGCACGTATTCACAATGCTGTGTTAGTCCCTACTTTAACGTATGGTAACGAAAGTAGGGTGTGGCAGAAGAAGCACGAGAGTAGAATAAATGCAGTAGAAATGTTGTCGCTAAAGAGTATGTTAGGGTTGAATCTGAGTGACAGGGTGTAGCGGCGCTGTCGTCGCGCCACAAGCGAAATACACCGAAGCCTAAATCACGCTATCAACATTCCGAATCATAAACAGCATATATAGAACATCTCCGAACTATCACATGGAGCGTTGGCCGCTCCCCGGGCAGAAAACCTTGCCCGGCGGGAGATCTCCCATTTTCCTACTCCGGCCACAGTGGTGACCATCCGACGTGATCTGAACACGCAACCAAAAACAACCTTCGGAAACTTCAAGCTTCGTCATCGTCATAGAATACCCCACCCATTCGCTCCCGAGTAGATATCGTCTGCAGTCTTCATATCCTGCAAGCCATCTAGCTTCACAAGGTTCATCGCAGCACCGGAATAATAATGCTTCCTGTTCCTTCAAGCTACTCTCTGCGCCGTACAGTGTTCGGCACGGCTCTGAGCCTTACTGCTCGCCTCTGCTTCACGGCACTCTCGCAGATTACTTGCCTTCTTCTCGACTCACCGCAGACTACAAGGCAAAATCTCCTGGCACTTGCACATTCGTCGACAACTCGACTGCACTATCGACCTCCGGTCTGAGCAGGGGGTGATGTAGCGGCGCTGTCGTCGCGCCACAAGCGAAATACACCGAAGCCTAAATCACGCTATCAACATTCCGAATCATAAACAGCATATATAGAACATCTCCGAACTATCACATGGAGCGTTGGCCGCTCCCCGGGCAGAAAACCTTGCCCGGCGGGAGATCTCCCATTTTCCTACTCCGGCCACACAGGGTGAGAAATTGTGTGATATAAGTAAGAGTGTGGTTTGCAAGATGATGCTGTGACCAGCATTAAGAAAAGAATGCTTCGATGGTTTGGTCATGTAGAAAGAATGAATGAGGAAAGCGTGACAAAGCAAATTTACATTGCAGAAGCGAATGGAACAGTTGGAAAGGGACATCCAAGGCGAAAGTTTATCGACCAAAATGGTGATATGTCCAATTAGTACGTACGTAGTAAGTGTACCTTTAACCGACGAGCATGTATGCGTGAGAGGCGAGATGAGGCGAGAGAGGTGTGTAAGGATCGAGCCAAATGGAAGTCTGTAGTCTCTGCCTACGCCTCTGGGTGACAGGCGTGAGTGTTTATGTTATATATGTTTATGTTCAAATGCCAATCTTCTCTGAACTGAATCATAGTAATCCAGATCTTTCCAAAAATGATTACTACAAACATTCTTGGGAAGGCCTATTTCCGAGAAGATTTAGTAGGGCTCTTGATGTTATGTTTTTTCGCGTTTGTATCTAGCAGTGGATTTTGTAAGGACAAGTCATAGACATACATATTTGTCCTTAGTCACGGGCACTCCTGGGTAAGAATATTGCACTTGTATTTTCCTCTTTGTTTGGTAAACTAGTACGTGACTAAATCCCACTCGATAGGTAGTTATGTAGCCGTAGGTTGTACTCCAATTTGAACATGACACATTAATTCGTTGGTCAAGGCGCCCAGAGGGTTCATGCCTCCTTGACTATGTGCGCTTCGCTGCAACATTTAACTTAATTATGAAACTAATCCAGTTTAGAATTTTTGGATTTTCAGGCGTTTTTGATGTTGGCAGCTGCATTTGTTGGTTTCGTAACAATCCTCTCTAAGCCTTGTGATCGAAATAATCACGTAAGTATCATACTATTGATAATAATTTTATCATCACATCTTGAAAGAACTGTTGTTGTTTTTGTACTTAACACTATTGTTGTTATTGTACTTAACAATATTGTTGTATATCATCATCATTACAGCCCTTCACAAGTCCACTGCTGAACATAGGCCTCCCCCAAGCAACGCCACAAAGCACGGTCCTGAGCCACCTGCATCCATCGACTTCCTGCATGTCTTACCAGGTCGTCACTCCATCTAGTGGGGTGGCCCCACACTACGCCTACCGGTACGAGGCTGCCACTCGAGAACCTTTCTTCCCCATCGGTTATCGGTTCTTTGAGCTATATGGCCGGCCCATTGCCACTTCAGCTTACTAATCCGCTGGGGTATGTCGGTCACTCTGGTTTTACTGCGGATATCCTCATTTCTGAGTCTATCTCGCAGAGAAACTCCGAGCATAGCCCTCTCCATAGCTAGCTGAGCGACCTTGAGCGTCCTCGTGCGGCCAGCAGTGAAGGACCGCGTCTCTGATCCGTAAGTCATCACTGGCAACACGCACTGGTTGTACACTTTAATTTTCAGAGATTGAGGTATACCTGACGAGAAGATGTGTCGTAATTTCCCGAACGCTGCCCAGCCGAGCTGAATCCGTCGATTGACCTCTCGGTCGAAGTTGGACTTACCTAGTCGGACTATTTGTCCCAGGTAAACGTACTCGTCAACAACTTCGAGCATAGTGCTCCCAACAAATACCGGCATAGGTGTGACATGGACATTAAAGTTTCATGTTCATCTTAGGACCTATCCGTTGGGAGACACCATTGAGGTCATTGAGCATAGTGCTTAGTTCCTCCAGCGATTCTGCCATAAGGACTATATCGTCGGCAAATCGAAGGTGAGTGATGTACTCGCCATTGATGTTAATACCGTATCCTTTCCAGTCCAGTAGCTTGAAAACGTCTTCCAACGCAGCGGTGAAGAGTTTCGGGGATATAACGTCACCCTGTCTTACACCTCTCTGCAGTTGGATAGGATTCGAACTCTGGTTCTGTACTCGGATAGCCATCGTAGCCCTACTGTACAAACACTTCAGCACTTCGATATACCGACAGTCAACTTGACACCGCTAAAGGGACTGTAGCACCGCCCAAATTTCGACGGAATCAAAAGCTTTCTCCTAGTCCACATACGCCAGGCAAAGTGGCAGATTGTACTCTTCGGTCTTCTGTACAATCTGCCGCAGGGTATGTATGTGGTCTATGGTACTAAAGCCTTTTCGGAAACCGGCTTGTTCGGGAGGCTGGAAGTCGTCGAGTCTGCGTGCGAGACGATTCGTAATGACTCTCGATAAGAGCACGTAGACGCGGCTCAGAAGGGATATCGGTATATAGTTCTTTGAAGAACAAGACAACCGCACTTCTGCTCCACGCCTCCGGAGTAGTGCCACCATGGAGGACGGAATTGAAGAGCTTCTAAAGGACTTCAAGTACCGGTGTTCCAACCGCTTTCAGAAGCTCCGCTGTAATTCCATCCTCGCCTGGGGCCCTGCCGTTTTTAAGGTGCTGGGAGCCATTCTAATCTCACTCAGACTGACGTCCGGAATATCATCGCAATAGTGTCGGGTAAGACTTGCTCTTGTATCGTTACTTACACTTGCGTGTGGCTCCAACGATGATGTGTACAGTTGCCCATAGAACCTCTCAATCTCACTCAAAATCTCAGGTGTCTCGGAAACGATGCTGCCACACTCAGTCTTCAGCTTTGAGAGTTGGCTCTTTCTGGCAGACAGATATCTGGCAAAGACTTTGGAGCCCTGGTTCCGCTCGATCGCTTCTTTAATACGAGCAGTATTAAAGTTGCGTAAGTCTCGCCGCATGCATTTGGAGATCTGTCTGTTCAGTTGCCTGTATGCTGTCAAATCTGTTGACGATTGCAGCCTCATCTCCCGTCTAACAGCCATGAGATTAAGAGTGTGATCGGAGAGTTTTTGTGTTCTTCTGCGGCGGGTCTTGCAGAACTTAGCTCCAACCGCATGGACAGTTTCCACGAGCTTGTCATTCATATCGTCCACTGCATTGCAATCTTCTAGACACTGAAAGCGGTTACGTAACTTGAGCGGAAAGTCTCGGAATTCTGGATCAGAGCACGAGGGGGACGGAGCGTTGACTTCATTAGACGAGACCTCTCCAACTTAACGTTAAGGTTCAGTGTGCCTCTAACCATTCGGTGATCGCTGCCGGTTTTCACTGAGACATCACTGAACAGTTGGCATCTGGTCGTCATAATGAAGTCAATCTCATTTTTAGTCGAACCGTCGGAGCTCGACCAGGTCCACTTCCTGTGGGGCCGCTTTTGGAAGAAAGAGTTCATCATAAAGAGTCCCTCTTTCTCCATAAAGTCAGCCAGCTGCCGGCCCCTACGGTTCCGTTGCCCTACTCCAAATTTTCCTAACTTCAGCTCACTGCCTTCTCTTGTGCCTAGTTTTGCGTTGAAGTCTCCCATCAACACCGTGTAGTGGGTTTTGGAGGAATGCATGGCTCTAGAAATATCCTCATACATTTCCTCCACCTCCTCATCGGGATGTGCCAAGGTTGTATATGTACTTAGCACTAATGTTCTTTTTGTACTTAGCACTATTGTTGTTTTTGTACTTAGTACTATTGTTGTTTTTGTACTTAACACTATTGTGGTCTTGTTTGTTTAACTATTTTGTTTTTGTACTAAACACTATTATTGTTTTTGTACTTAGCAATATTGTTGTTTTTGTACTTAACATTATTGTTGTTTTTGTACTTAACACTATTGTTGTTTTGCTAGCTAAGTTTAATTTTCTATTATTTATTCTCACTTTGATATTTTATAATGGAATCTGTTTTATGACAGTTAATAATTTCAACATATCTCCCATAGAAATCTAAATAATAAGCCAACTCCACGTTTCGAGCTCCAGAGTTCGATTTTTATTGTTTTTAAACGGATTTCTCCGTGTATACGTTACTGAGTTTTTTTGTCTCGGATATCTTAAGTAGATATTATGATACCATCTGCAAACCAACTTTATATGACGCTTGATTGAATAATAATCAAGTTTTTATATACTGACAATGATTGTATATATATATATATATATATATATATATATATATATATATATATATATATATATATATAATATTACTATAGTAAACTACTGTATTAGGGATCTGAATGCTATAATTCTTTAATGTAATTGATTGATTACTAAATTTAATAATTCTCTGAATCTAAAAGCAGGCCATACTATTATATTGTAATAGGCAGACAATGCCGTAAACGCTTAAAGAAGTTTAAAAAAAATCTTTTGAAATAAAATATTGGTTTGACAGTATGTTTTTATAACAGGCAAAAGCCTCGTAAATACTATATTTCAAGTAAAAATTGTCGCTAACTTAAGGGCTTGAAGGGAATAAGGTGTCATGCTTTTTACCGTTATCCATTGTAATTCTTTTACATAAAGGTGTATAGGTCTATAGGGAGTAAATGTATACATAATATAAATAAAATTTAAGTGTCTGTCTATAATATCAAAATAACTGCCTTTTATTGAGCTGTGGGAGGGGGGGGGGTTTATTTGCATTCCATTAAGACTTGAATAATTTGTTTAAAACTTTTGTGTGTTTGTCCGGGGTAACCTACCTACGCGCTTTGCGCTTAAGGCGTGCAATTGTAGTAGATTAACATAGATTTGCGCAAGCAACATAATAAAGTAGGTAGATCGTCATACCGCTATCTATCGGAGCTCGCAACATGTGTCGGGCATTTCCTTAAGTCGTATCTTACGACACCCATCAGATGAGATGAGGTTAAGGATTATCTTATATACTAAACTTATTGTAAAATATATATCGATTATAAAATCACCAAAATTAAGTAGTGGTGTGAGAATATCCACTGTCGTTAGAGGCGACAGACGGAAACTGACGACGAGACGTAGTGTTTTTGAAATAGAAACTTTTTTATTCAATATAGATTATAAATAATACTTATTGAAAGTGATTTTTTTTTTAATTTACCACTGGTTCGGAAAAAGACCTCTGTCCTGGAAAGAACCAGCAAGAAACCCAGCGTGACTATTTTTTTTTAAATAACTGTTTACAGTCATTGTTACAATTAACAACACAAAACAAATTAGAAATGGCTTGGTAGCAATCACCCTTCCCAGGGGTTATAATCATCCATAAATTCCTTAATATTATAATAACCCTTTTTATATAAACTTAGTTTAATAAAGTTTTTGAACTTTGTGCATGTCAAATTTTGTATATTTTTTGTTGTAAAAGCGTATACATCGCCCCAAGAATGAGTTACTGACTCGTTGGAGTCAAGTCTGTAACTCATTCTTCAACCTCAACTTCAACTGGCAAGCTTGTGTCTGTTCCTAGTATTTACAGAATGAATATCACTTATTTTTGTTATTGTAAAATATGTATATATCGATTATAAAACCACCTAAGTCAAGTGGTGGTGTAAGAATATCCACTGTCGTTTGAAGCGACAGAGGGTTAAAAACCACTAGATGTAGCTTAATAACAACTAAAAAAAAAACTGCGGTTGCTAACACGCCTATCAAGCGTGGTAAACATGACAAATGCCCAACTAAGAGGGAGGTCTATGTCCAGAAGTGGACTTCTAATAGGCTTTAACTATAACAGTTGGAAAGGGCTATGCGCATTAGAATCAGAGTGACTGACATAGCCCAACGGATTAGTAAGCTGAAGTGGCAATGGGCCGGCCATATAGCTCGAAGAACCGACAACCGATGGAGAAAAAAGGTTATCGAGTGGCAGCCTCGTATCGGTAGGCGTAGTGTAGGGTGACCCCCTACTGGATGGAGTGACGACCTGGTGAGGCATGTAGGAAGTTGATGGATGCAGGTGGCTCAGGACGGTGTTTTGTGGCATTCTTTGGGGGAGGGCTTTGTTCAGCAGTGGACTTGGGAAGGTTAATGATGATGATAACGGTAACCGTTAGAAATTCATCTTTATGAGAACCTTCGCCGACACACAAAGCGGTAACCTCTTAAATTTACTGCCTATATACGTCCTGTCCGTAGGGTTTTGGGACAAGGAAAAGTTCGCAGCACGAGCAGTGCCCCAATGCGTGTTGAACTTCACGTCTACGAAATATATTTTTTCTTTATTTTTCAGTTATGCAGGTTTCCTCACGATGTTTTCTTTAACCGCCGAGCACATGGTAAATGAGTACTTAAAATTGCAACTATCAATTTCATTGGATCGAACTCGGGTTGCTCGAGTATTGTGTTTGAAGCGAGTAGTTAATCCCCGCGCTACCACGGATCCCTTGAGCTAAAACGGCTCCCCTTTGATGGAGGCATATGATGCCGGCACTACATGCATATACTATATGTATTCATTGTATTTTAGACAAATTGCACACATCGACATAATAACGTTACAAAACCGCACCCGGATCAGTATTACAAATTGCAGAAGAGTACGAGTAAAGAAAGGATGATAAAGAATAAAGAAAGTGATGCAGTGGCTGGTAAAGACGATTGGGAAGAGTTAGAGATAGTTCGAGAGGATATTCTGTATAGAGAGGACCTCGCCACGCAGTATCTAGCAGAATTTTTTGTTAATACTGATGGTGAAATTACTAGTTTGCAGGTAAATTATACCATTTTAGTATTTATATGTCAATATCTAGTATGTATAGCGCCTTGGTGGTTAGCCTAAATTTTCACATTTCACGAGCAATTCTAGTTTTTATACCGAAATTATATTATGGTTGTAGTACGAATGGGTTGGCTCGACCGTTCAAGGACCTTTCTCTCACGAAATACGTGAATTTAGGTCCGGTGAGTGTAGAGAACCGGAAACCCCGTTAATGTGATCCATCGATCGCATTCTGCTTTAGATTCTTAATCGATGATAGATGTATATATCTATCAATCAAATGTACTGTGTGCTCGTTTATCATACTTATTCTATATTTAAAAAAAAATTGAGTTCGATTCCTACCCGGTGCCATGGGGAGGGGGAGGAAACTGCTTACGCCACAGCATTCCATTTCAGACCTCAGGGGTCACATCGCATGTGCATTTTGATTCTCAATAAAGGAAAGATGTAGATGTCTGTGGGGGACTGCGTTGACTTTACCATCTGGTGGATTGGTGAAAATTCTTACAATAGGTATATCACACAATTTCTAAAATCGACATTTTTTTTTCAGGACACTCCGATGAACGACGGGAATGACAGAGATGAGGAATCCATCCATGTTTAAAAAAAAACGAAGAGGCGTTTTAATTTTCGAACATGATTGTAGAGTTATAGACAACTTAGTGTAAGGCTTAAGTAGAAAGCGTATAGCGGAGCGTGTAGCGGGCAATCATAAACTGTACTGCTTAGTGTACTAAGTGTAGTGTGACAAAATACATCAATACAGTTGTACTGCTGTGTTTTGTCTTAAAATCCCGCCATACGAGTTGTATAAAAAAACCCGCCGCTACGTCATATGCTCCGTCGACGTAAGACCGATTAAGAACTTAGTGTAGAAACCCAATAAAGAGCGTTCAGTAGGGCGGAGGGTTTAGCGTGCATGATAAACACACGTTCTTGTATTGCAGTATCCCGAAAGCCCGTTACTCATTTATATAGGACTACGCGACTTTATGCCACATCCTCCCTTGACAGGCCAAGTGCTTTACGAGTACGCTTTATACATAGATTCGCCTGTGCCTGTGTTTGTCATGCACGTCAATAAACTCGTGTTAGTGTACCGAATGTTCTCCACACAGGCCCAAGCCTAGACCTAAGTTTAGTTGTTTTTTTTTAAATTATCTATCTTTATTGAAAAGGGCTTTTATCCTAAAATCATATTATATCAGCGTTATTGTAACATTAAGTCATTAGTTTAGAGCGGTCTACAAGAGCATGTTGTTTGTCATGCACTTCAATTACTTAGTTTTTTTTAAAGTTTTTTTAGTTTATGTAGCACTAATCTTACTAATAAATATGTATTTAATTTTAGTTGAGGAACAACATATTGTTTTTTCTTTTTTTTTATAAAGTTATATGCATGCGGAGTTTACCTTTAGTAATTGTAGCACTTGTGTTAATACTTTTAAGTAATTGTATTAATTTGATGTGTTAGTGTTATCAATTGTTGGTGAACCTAATAAAGACAAAAAAAATTGCTCCGCTCGCAAAAAGCTTTTCACTGTGGCCTTACTCTTAGGCTTACCGTTAATATCTATTGCACGCCTCACAACGCTCGAGCGTGTTGCTCGACTCCCGACATGCCGCTATGTGACGATTTTGCAATACAAAACAATTAGTATGTCTTAATTTAGGAACTAAATGAGTAAACAAAGGGACGTTTTGGAAACTAGATATATTAAGTTATAAAGTCAGCGTATTTTTTAATTCATTTGTTTAGTTATATTTACAAAAAATTTAGTTAAAATATTAGTACGGCTGTCAGTTAGTTTGTGTACTTGTATGTCTTCACGTTTTCAGAAAAATGTACGCAACTTCTGAATAAGTTTATTTATTTATCCCCAGGATTGGTTGTTGTCAGACTGACTCATAGACGTTTACAAGATATTTTTTTTTCATCAAAATTAAATGAAATTATGATGAAAAAAATAAACTATACCTAAGCTCATATAACTAAACGCACAATCGCAAGGTTTTCGTCAGGGTATCGGCTTAATGTAAAAACAAAAAAAAAATTGTAAAATATCAATGCCATAGGATTCTATTCCGTTTACCTGTTACACAACATTTTTTTCAGACGGTAAAAAATTTTTTACAGTATTATTACTAAGTTTTAGTAAGTAAGCATAGTTTGTTCAGGTATCCTCTTAGGTTTATCCTTATGGGAAAGCATTATTTGCAGTTTATAAAAATTATGAAAGTATTGAGTAAGTGCTTTTTAAGTGACAATATTTTTTGAATTTTAGCGAATTTAATTTAATTTGTGGGAGGACCTTTGTTCAGCTGTGGGCTTTTATAAGCTGTAATGGATGGAATGAATTTTTGACCTGATTAAAACTGAGGGTTATAACTATACCTGAGAAGTTATCTATTGTTCATATTTTTATTTTTTTATCATTTTTATTATTTATTATTATTTTATTATTTTTCTTACTAGTAACATAAAAGCTAAATTGTGATTACTCAATGATTGAATAATTAATTAATGTGTTTATTTTTGTTATGTTTAAAGATTATAACTTATGAAAATAACAGTAGGAAATTATGTACGATTTATATTATTATATAGTATTTAATTCCGATTTAATTTATTAATCTCTTAATATCTTTTACGAAATGCGTGTAACAGTTGTAATTAAGTCAACACTTAGAATTTATGATTTCCTGTAAAAATATTATACTTTTGTTAGTGTATGTTCTGTTGGTGTTAAAATAAATAATATCAGGATGTTTAGCGCCTCTCCTCCCCAATGTAAAGAAATAAAATAAATTAAACGCGATAAAATACGCAAAATCAAGAAATCATTGGTGTTTTTTGATATAAGAGAAATCAGTTGTTGGAAATTGTGTTGAATTAAACAAAATGCAGATCATATTTGTTTTATTTTAGTACATTGTAACAAACCGTGTGATGAAGACATCCACCATTCAATGTGGGTATTTTAAGAGGCTTTTTTAAAGAAAAAACGAGCACACAGTCTACCTGATGGTAAGAGGATGCTCTGGACCATAGACATCTACATTTATCATTGTTTATATATAGAATAAGGATGACAAACGAGCACACAGTCCACCTGGTGGTAAGTGGATGCTCTGGCCCATAGACATCTACATTTATCATTGCTTATATATAGAATAAGGGTGACAAACGAGTACACAGTCCACCTGGTGGTAAGTGGATGCTCTGGCTCATAGACATCTACATTTATCATTGCTTATATATAGAATAAGGGTGACAAACGAGTACACAGTCCACCTTGTGGTAAGTGGATGCTCTGGCCCATAGACATCTACATTTATCATTGCTTATATATAGAATAAGGGTGACAAACGAGCACATAGTCCACCTGGTGGTAGGTGGATGCTCTGGCCCATGGACATCTACATTTATCATTGCTTATATATAGAATAAGGGTGACAAACGAGCACACAGTCCACCTTGTGGTAAGTGCATGCTCTGGCCCATAGACATCTACATTTATCATTGCTTATATATAGAATTAGGGTGACAAACGAGCACACAGTCCACCTGGTGGTAAGTGGATGCTCTGGCCCATAGACATCTACATTTATCAATGATTATATATAGAATAAGGATGACAAACGAGCACACAGTCCACCTGGTGGTAAGTGGATGCTCTGACCCATAGACATCTACATTTATCAATGATTATATATAGAATAAGGGTGACAAACGAGCACTCAGTCCACCTGGTGGTAAGTGGATGCTCTGGCCCATAGACATCTACATTTATCAATGATTATATATAGAATAAGGGTGACAAACGAGCACACAGTCCACCTGGTGGTAAGTGGATGCTCTGGCCCATAGACATCTACATTTATCATTGCTTATATAAAGAATAAGGGTGACAAACGAGCACATAGTCCACCTTGTGGTAAGTGGATGCTCTGGCCCATAGACATCCACATTTATCATTGCTTATATATAGAATAAGGGTGACAAACGAGCACACAGTCCACCTGGTGGTAAGTGGATGCTCTGGCCCACAGACATCTACATTTATCATTGCTTATATATAGAATAAGGGTGACAAACGAGCACACAGTCCACCTGGTGGTAAGTGGATGCTCTGGCCCATAGACATCTACATTTATCATTGATTATATATAGAATAAGGGTGACAAACGAGCACACAGTCAACCTTGTGGTAAGTGGATGCTCTGGCCCATAGACATCCACATTTATCAATGATTATATATAGAATAAGGGTGACAAACGAGCACACAGCCCAGCTGGTGGTAAGTGGATGCTCTGGCTCATGGACATCTACATTTATCAACGATTATATATAGAATAAGGGTGACAAACGAGCACACAGTCCACCTGGTGGTAAGTGGATGCGCTGGCTCTAGAAATCTACATTTATCCGCGATTAAGAATCAAAACGCAGATGTAATGTCACCCCCGAAGACTAAGATGGAAAGCCTCATTTCTAGAAAAAAATAGTCTCCGGATCTCTACACTCACCATACGAAACACAGCAGCATTAAGCTACTATTTGACGCTGGTATCCTGTGAGAGCGTGGTCCTTCCCCGGTCGAGCCGACCCATTCGTGCTACAACCATAATATAGCTGCAACGTGGCTCTACCACGAATAAACTAATTTTAATTTACTAACTTAAGTTTGAACTATTTGTGGTGGCAACTATTTCTTTTACACTAGACGTAACATCACGTATTGCGATTGCCAATCTACCTACCAGTGCGTGACGGTTATATTATGACAAATAATGAATAGAATAAGCTGTTAATTTGGAAATACACTATATTAAAGACGTTAGACTAGTTCTACGTGGTAGAGCCATGCTGCAGTTATATTAGTAGTATAGTTGTAGCACGAATGGGTCGGATCGACCGGGGAAGAACCACGATCTCACAGAACACCGGCGTAGAATGGTAGCTTAATGTTGCTGTGTTTTGTATGGTGAGTGTAGACAACTGGCGACCCTTTTTACTGGAAACGAGGCATTCCATCTTAGTCCTCAGGATTGACAACGCATCTGTGTTTTGATTCTTAATCGAGGATAAATGTAGATGTCTATAAGCCACAGTATTCACTTACTATCAGGTGGACTGTATGCTGCTTTGTCACACTTATCCTATAAAAAAAAACAACAATTTTTCTCTATGTCTCTTTTCTTTATTGCTCCTTCAGAATATATCTATATTACCCTATTCCAGGCCACCACGTAGCAGTGTGCACACTGCTGTGTTCCTGTCTAAAGGATATAGATAGCCAGTATATATTTTCAGGCTTTGAGAGATTTTGTTTATATAAAACGAAGGTGACAGAGGGACTTGAATTCCACCTGATGGTAAGTAGTTACTGCAGTCCACCATCACCTGCAGCCAACTTGAAACAAAGAAAGCTACAGATGCTTTATCACCTCTGAAGACCAAGATGGAATGTCTCTCTATCCTGTGGCGCTACAGCCCTTTGTGGGCCCTGGCCTCCTCCACAATATTCCTCCACTTGTCGCGATCCTTCGACTCCCTGCGCCACTTGGTGTATTTACCCATTCTTCTCAGATCGTCTTCC